CCAACCACCTAACCCAACCGCCCAACCGCCCAACCACCCAACCACCCACCCACCCAACCAACCTACCACAGGTGGTTATTATCAATATTGTTTTTCAAAGCCTCCATACTGGACTCATTGTATCCGTCGTTTATCCTACGCATTGTGTTGCTGTCATTTGTGTGGTGTCGTCGCCCACACATCGGGACAGGCAGCCATTGCTAGGTTCACATATTCGACGCAGCGGCGCAACATGGCCGACGTAGTGCTCATTGTCAAAGAGGTTGTGGATGGGAAGGAAATCGTTGTGAGAGAGACACTCATCGAGCGCGATACCGAGAACAAAAGGAACTTTGAACACTGGTAAGGGGTGGTCGCCACGAAAACACGTGTGTACTACGCGTTCGTCGATGACACCCTCGCTTTAAGGGTCGTGACGGGGTTGGGCTATGATGCTCATGATCGCCTTGATGAGGTTGTCATGCATGCTCAAAAACTTTCGGATGTTGTTCCCGACGCTTGCGAACCCCCCGACGTCGACACGTTCGGTCAAATTCTAAGGCGAATTGTGTCAGTCATTGCGAACGACCATGCAAACATGTTAGCAAGCAATACATGGTTCTTCTCCAAGCTCGACCCCCCGCTACAACGCCGTAGTTTTCTCCAAGGAGATGTGCGCAGTGTTTGGCCTGAGGCTGGTTGCGGACAACACTGCGAAATTGTCAACAAACCATCAACCCGCTCGTCTCATGCGTATCCGAAACCGGTGGGCAAGTCGGCACATTGAAAAACTTCGGGACTGCGGCTACCCGCTCCTCCCATATATATGTATAAATAACGTTCCCCCTTCCCGTACGGAACACGTCGGACATAGTGTTTGCGTCTTTCATTGTTTGATTCATTGGTTCATAACTTACGGTGCTGCGTTCTGTGAATTGCAGCAGTATCTAGACGTTGTACGAAACAAGCGACCATGCAGTGCGCGCCAATGATTTTCCAATGTTACCATTCCACGAAACTGCCGGGCAGCGAGACCGTGTATTATTATGAATCCATGACGCCCGTCACAGAGCCTGTCGGCGAGGCTGTCAGGTACCGAAATAGAGATAAGATGGAGGACCGACATTTTGTAGTCTGCGTGGAGGAGGATCGAGTCGTCCCGACCATGTCATTGAACACATTCAGGTGCTCATGTCTAAGGCTACAATGTACTTCAGTAGCCTTGTTCTCAAGTCAGTCGAAGGTGATCTAATGTATGATATCGTTTACCCCCTTGTGCATCGAATACTATACACACACTATGGCACGGTTGCTCGGGACGGCGTGTGGCGCCTTCTCGTGTCTATGCCCTATTTTGTGTCTAATGGCGAGGATTTCTCTGCGATGTTATATCCTTGCTGCTGGATCCGGTGCTGACTAGGAAGACATTTTTGTGCTATGTTCCTTCTTTGTTGCGAGGACGATTCATGGTTTCAATGATTGTACATCGGAGGAAAATATGCAATGATCAGTACGCATGAGTCGTTTTTTAATCATATTTCTGCTGCATTGTGTTTTTTTTTGTTACGCGTGGTGTGGAGGTACACTTCTAAGGTGATCGCCGCACGTAATGTTATGTTTTGTAGATTTCTCGAAAAAAACACATCAGCGACATAATAATCTTCACTCATTCCCTGATATGGACCGCCGCCGACTAGCGGTAGGCGTGCGGGCTGAAGCAATTGTGTATGGATATGGCACAGATATTGATCCATTCCGAGACGAGGAGTTGATAGCTATGAATACCCCTCGGCGGCGGACAGGCGCGGCTAAGTCCGCGGCCACGACCGAGTCCGCGACCCCGCGGACGCGTCCGCGCGTACGCGTGGCGGCCGCTGGGGAAGGGGGTTTAGGAATCGGGAAGCGCCACGTGGCGGTGCAACCCCACCCCCACCCCATCAGGCAAAAAAAAACGAAAAAAATCAAA